CTTCCTGTTAGGGTTTCCATCTCAAGGTGTTTTAATGTATTCATTTTGTTTGTCTATTTCAAAAGTGTTTTGGTTTAAAAATGATAAACCACATTCTCAACAAAGAGAATATAATTAAATACTTCCCATGTGGGTCTGGGCTCCAACTCAGGTCATCAGGTCCAGCAGTGAAAGCCTTTACCCACTGAGCCATCGCCCTAGCCTTTTGAGGTAGGACCTCACTCTGTGACCCAGGCTGGTCTTGAACTTGGAGCAATCCTGCCTCAGCCTGCCCAGTGCTGGGACCACAGGGCTTGTTGGTCTTTTGTCTTGAAGAATGGTCACACTGACCTAGTTCTCAGCTTTGCAGATGATCTGGGGTTGTGCCCTGGGTGCTGTGACTCCAAAGCTTTGTAGTCCTGTTTCCTGGCACTTGATGTCTTCTTGGGCGGCTTTCAATCTGGTTCCTCCTAGCCAACAAGGAGTAATTTCATCTGTGTGTGGCTCCTTGCCCCCCTCCCCAAGGGCAAAGGAACCCAATGGTGGCCCAGCTCACACACAGTGCTCAAGCAGTCCCTTCTCCAATTTACAGCCCAGGATCGCCCTCCCTTTCTTCTGGGGTGGGTCCTGGATCCTAGGGTCAGAAGGACAGGCAGTCCCAGTTCAGCCCCAGTTCTGCCCGACAGGAGGCTAGAGCTGAGTTGGGAGGGAGCAGGAGGTAGAGCCTGCCTGCTGTTCCTTCCAGTGATACAGGGCACTTTTGTATTTAGTTGTAAACTTTTCCATTGTTATTTTTCTTTGTCTATCCTTTTCCTTCCAGGGGTGGCTACAGGTCAGCCTCCCTCCTCTGAAAGAGCCAGCCACCTTGCTTCTTGGTACAGGGTCTCTCACTGGCCTAGAGCAAATCCCTTAGGCCAGGCGGGCTGGTCAGCCCCAGGATCCTCTTCTCTACTTGGCCCAAGAGCCACTATCCCAAGCTGGCACCACCTCCCCTGGCTGTTAAAGTGGGTTCTGGGCATTGAACTCAGATCCTGGTGTTTCCACAGGAAGCACACTACCTATCCCCATCACGGCCATCTCTAAGTAAGGTCATGTCTTGGCTGTGACTGTCACCCTCCTTTTTAGAAGGCTGAGCAGACCCGTACCACTGAGCCCCCTTTCCAGCCCTGGTGTCATAAAGAGACGAGCTTGTGGTCTGTGTCCCTGAGGCCAGAGCAAGAGATTCGGGGGGTGAACCTCCGAGGAAGTTCACGCCTGTGTCCTCTGCCATCCTGGCTGCCCTGAGGTCCTCCCATAAAGAGACGAGCTTGTGGTCTGTGTCCCTGAGGCCAGAGCAAGAGATTCAGGGGGTGAACCTCCGAGGAAGTTCACACCTGTGTCCTCTGCCATCCTGGCTGCCCTGAGGTCCTCCCCGGGTCCCCTGCGCTGGGAGCAGCTAGGCTGGAGGATCTGCTCTAGGCTAGAGGATCTGCTCTAGGCTGGAGGGAGGATCTGCTCTAGGCTGGAGAGAGGATCTGCTCTAGGCTGGAGGGAGGATCTGCTCTAGGCTGGAGGATCTGCTCCCGGTGCTCAGCATCTGCCTGGTCTTCAGGATCCTGCATGGCCCGTGGGTCTCTCCAGGGCTCACAGTCCTGCCTTCTTCCTGCCCAGGTCCTGACACCAAGGGGGGCGACAGCCCTGCAGCCCCTGAGGACCCCGCAGCCGCCGACACACGGAGCCCCGCGCTCCCCGGGCTCCCGCAGCTCCCCCGGCGCCCGCAGCTCCTGGATGAGGATCCGGGGCCAGGCGAAGCAGGGGCTGTGGCCGCAGAGGACAGGGAGGGGACGCCCGGGAACCCCGAGCCTGTGGCGGGCCAGGCGGGGCCCGAACCCAAGGCCGCCAGCACCGCACCACCCATCGGCTTTGTGGGCGAGCCCCCGCCCTACGCCCCGCCAGACCCCAAGGCGGTGGCGCTGCTCTACCCGCCCTTCCCGCAGGTGCCTGTGCTCTTCCAACCTGCGGCCTCAACCGCTGCACTCTACCCGCCGCCCGGCCAGCTCTTCGGGCAGCCCAGCGCATCCGGAGCTGCCTTCCCATTCCCCGCGGTGAGCCTGACCACCCCACCCATGGGACAAGCGGGTTCTGAAGGATGTGTAGGAGCCATCCAGGAGAGGGCAGGATGCGTAGGCTGCAGCATGGCCAAGCCGGCGGTCAGTTAGGGCGAGGATGGATGGTTTGATGGAGGAAGTGCGTCTTAGGTGATGGGCCGATTGGAAAAATAGCCAGGCCGGGTGTGTGGCGCAGGCCTTTAGTCTCAATGCTTTGGAGACAGAGGCAGGTGGTGGATCCCTTGAGTTCCAGACCAGCCTGGTCTACATAGTGAGTTCCAGGACAGCTGGGGCTACAGGGAGACCCTGTCTCAAAAAGACAAAAAAGAAAACAACAAAAAAAAGCAAATCCAAAACTGAATCAGGATCAGGTGGAGTAATGGTGCGCACCTGTCATCCTAGCACTTAGAAGTTGGAGGCAGGAAGGTCAGAAGTTCAAGGTCATCCTCAACTACATAGTGAGCTGGAGGTCAGCCTGGGCTACATGAAACTCTCAAAAAAAATGTACTTTTTTTTTTTTTGGCTTCAAACTCATAGAGATCCGCCTGCCTCTGCCTCCCAAGTGCTGGGATTCAGTTTTCTTAAGAAGCAAAAGCCCTGGGCTGCCAGAGGAGGAGAGTTTGGAGGTGCCCAGGAGGGGCAGCTCCCTGGCAGATAAGGGTATTGTGGTGCCCTGGGCTAGGCAGTGTGTACAGGGCAGAACCGAGGGGACTCCTGGGGCTTTGTAGGGTGTGTGTGAGGACCTGCTATCCTTGGAGGAGAAGGTGGGTTGGAGTGAAACTTCCCTGGTTCCTCACCTGCTGGCTCTGCCCCACAGTATGGCAGCCCTGTGGCTGGTGGTCCTGTGCCCACACCAGTAGAGCACAGACCCCTGCCTAAGGACTTCATGATGGAGTCGGTCCTGGTGACCCTGTTCTGTTGCCTGCTCACTGGGCTCATCGCCATCGTCTACTCCCACGAGGTAGGTGACAGGAGTGGCACAGCCCCTTGAATGCAGCCTCTGCCCCGTGGGGATGTGTAGAGGCCTCACCCAGCAACCTGGTGCCATCTCTTGTGGGACCTGGCCCTTCTTGTATGGGGTTTTTCCTTTCCTCTCCTGTCTGTGACCCTCACCACTAAGAGTCTGTTCTGGAATTCTGGAACGTTCTAAAACAATAAAATGTGAATGACTGTTGAGGCCCAGTGGTAGGGGTGTTTTAGCAGCCTGAGGACTGCACATCTAGGCAACGATTGATCTACCTGGTCCTCTCATACCCTGCATTCTCCCAGCATGCATCTGTTCATCTGTCCACCACACCATCTACCCACCCTCTCTGCATCAGCCGTCTACTCCACCACCTCTTGTCTCCTTGGTTCACCTGTCTTTTCTCCTTCTCCATCTCTGTTCATCCTTTTTTTTTTTGGTCTTTTTGAGACAGGGTCTCCCCGTAGCCCCATCTGTCCTGGAACTCACTATGTAGACCAGGCTGGCCTTGAACTCCAGAGATCCACCTGCCTCTGCCTCCCGAGTGCTGGGATTAAAGGCGTGCGCCACCCTGCCTGGCTCATCCTTTTATTTACACACCTCTCCATCTTCACCCCTCCATCCATGCATCTCATTAGCATCTCTCCTTCCTCCCTCCCTCCCTCCCCATTTCCATGGATTATCATCATTCTGATGGGCAGAAGGCAGGCCTCTGGAGCTTGTGCTCCCTAGTCACAGCCTGGCCTTGTTCTGAGGATCAAGCCCCTGGCCATCCAGAGCCAGGACTAAGGGGAGCCTTTGGCTCTGGGCAGCTCAGGGGTGGGACTGTAACTTCTGGCTCTGTTAGCAGCTGGATGATCTAGGGAAGGTCATGCAATGCTACTGAGCTTTTGTTTCCTCATCTGCAACGTGGAATGCCATGAGCCCCCCAAAGGCTGCCGTGAGGTGGCAGAAATGAGGACATTCCTCTGTGCTAGAGGGACCTCCACTCTGGCGCCCCTATAAGCTGAGGGCCTGGTGGGTCCCTGACCTTGGGTGTCAGTTTTTTGGCCTATGGCATGGGTCTGGCCCTGAAGGTGTGCTGGTAGGGGACGGAGGGGACTCCTGGTTCACTCACCCCACCTCGGTCCCCTGTCTTCGTTTCAGACCCGAGCAGCCCTGGGCAGGGGGCACCTGGCCCAGGCTGAGGAGGCCTCGAGGAAGGCCCGCTCACTTGTGCTCTTCAGCCTGCTCTTCGGGGTCTTTGTGTCTACCAGCTGGGTCATCTATGTGGTGGTGGCCCTTTATCTGCCCTGAGGCCCAGGAATTTCAGGCCAGATCTTGCCCTTCCCGTGGACTCTGTTCCTGCTGTGGCCAGCAGCTGCCCACATGGGGCAAAGGAGAAGTGGGCTCTGTAGCCCATAGCAGGCTGTGACTGGGTCCTCTGAGGCCTCGAGCAGGACACTGATTTGATGGACCAAGGCCCATACAGCCCAGAAGTCCTTCTGGGATGCCTGCCTTCACTTTTGCTCCTAGAAGACTACAGAAGACTGATGCCCTCACGATCTTGGGAGTCATCTGGAAGGACATGACCCTCCAGTCAACAAGAGTGCAGAGCTCCCGGTGCCCACTTCAGAGGACTCTGCAGCTTTGTGTCTGAGTGCAGCTGAACCCAGACCTGCCCCGCCCTGCCCTGAGCCACCCCAGATACGGGCACTCCAGCTCTTCTTAGACACAATGCCTGTATCCTAAGACCCACTTTTCTGGAAACTTCCTTATTTTCTCCTTATTGCCTCTGGCTTCTGCTGACCACCTGATTGAGGCTTTTAGCTTCTGGCCTCCCCATCCCCAGCTTCTTGCTCATTTTCTCTTTACCTTTATTGCCCCAAAATAGGTCAGCTGAGGGGCTCAGGGTGTGTAGTGCTTATCTCACATGCACAAAGCCCTGGGTTTCTATCCCCAGCACTGTATATGTGGGGTGCCTGGTACATGCCTGGAATCCCAGCACTTGAGTGGAAGGATCAGAAATTCAAGATCATTGGCTAGAGCTGGAGGCCACCCTGGGCTACGTGAGTCTCATGTAGGATAAGCTGGGTGTCCAGTCAGGGAAGACTGTTTGTGGACTGGGGAACACTTTCAGGTCAGACCACCCCAAATGCTGCCTACAGAGACAAGCAGCTGCCCTCCCATTATGTGCCCTTGGGTCACATCCAGCTGGCTGTGGTCTTGGGAAAGACTCCATTGCCAGGGAGTTATCCAAGGGAGGAGGGAGGAGGGTACCCGGTTGAACCTGAAAACTACATGCAGCGCCCATCAAGCCGGGCCTTTCTTTTGGGTGGCTGCCACTGTTCACTGCCCTCGCACCAGGCACGCCATCCTCTGGAGACTGGAAGTCGGTAGTGAGCAGGGTGGAGATCTGGGAACGTTCCAGAATCAAGAACTTCAACATCAAAATGCATTGTAGCCACAAAGAGGAGGCGAGCATTTCAGGGGACTGGTAGATGCCCAAAAGAGGTACCTGACCACATCCAACCGCCACACTGTTCTCCCTTTGGAAGTCTGGAAGCCTGGAAGCTTCTTGGACTCGAGTGAATTGCCTGGGATCGAGCTGCAAAGGCAGATATGGGTTCTATAGCCCCAGTCAGAAGCTCTGCGCGGCCAGGGAGCTCTCTGCTGCTGCAGGACACCTCAGGTGGAGATTCAATGCCATTGTTAAAGAGCATCTGCACCAAGACCTTACCTTTAACCCTCCAGCATCTCTTCCTCAACACTGCTGGGAAGTTCAGCTAAGACAAAACAAGTGGAGTCTGCAGTACAGAAACCAGAAGAGATGGAACGCTGCACTATACAATGAATATACACCAATTAAAAAAGGGAGCCGCTGAGCTGGCTCAGTGGGAGAAGCACTTGCTGCCAAGCTTGACAACCTAAGCTTAATTCCTGGGACCCACATGATGGAAGGAGAGAACCAACTCTCAAAAGCTGCCCTCTGACCTCCACATGAATGCCCCCGACCCCACAAAACAAAAATTTTAAATGTAATAAAAAGTGAAAAGCAAGCTGGGTATGCTGTGCCTTTCCCCCTGGCACTCTGGAAGCAGAGGCAGGTGGATCTCTACGAGATCAAGACCAGCCTGATCTACATATTGAGTTTCAGGGCAGCCAGGGCTACAGGGAGACTCTGTCTCAAAACAAACAAAAAATAACCATAGCCTGTGTGGTACATGCCTTTAATCCCAGCACTCAGGGGGCAGAGTCAAGCAGATCTCTTGAGTTTGAGGCCAGCCTGGTCTACATATTGAGTTCTAGGCCTGTGAAGGCTACATAATGAGACTGTTTCAAAAAACAAAAAAAATTCAACTGGGGCTGGAGAGATGGCTCAGCAGTTAAGAGCACTGGCTGCTCTTGCAGAGGACCTGGGTTCAATTCCCAGCACCCACATGGTGGCTAACAACTGTAACTCCAGTTCCAGGGGAACTGATGCTGCCTTCTGACTTCTGCATTGCACAACATGGGTGCACTTACATACACGCAGGCAATACACTCACATAAATTAAAAATAACAAAAATATTTAAAAAATCTAATATGGAAAAGTATGCAAGAAAAGATTTAACGAGAGGACTTCCTTCACCGAATACTGAAGGCTGTCATAGGGAATTTGAGGTGACTCAGTGGGTAAGAGTGCTTGCTATCTGAACCTGGAGACCTGACTTTGCTCCCTTGAACCTGCATAAAGGTGGAAGGAGTGAACCAGATCCACAAAGTTGTCCTCCGCCCGTCACATGTATGCTATGGCACACGTTCCCTCCCCTATCATGCACTGACACACAGTTATAAAACTGTAAAAAAATATCCTGCTAGTGCCACAGAGGTCAGTGAAAAATGCAGTGTCTAGAAAATGTTCTAGATGTGCGAAGAGCTAGCTTCTGACAAAATAGCATTTTAGTTGACCGAAAGATGCCTGGGATTGGGATGGCACAGTGGGTAAAGTACTTGCCATGCAAGCATGAGGACCTGAATCTGGATCCCCAGCACCCACATACAAAGCACTATAAGGACGTGTGCCTCTAATACTAGCATAGGGGAGTTGGAGATGGGCAGATTCCTGGAGCTCTTTGACCACCCAGCTGGCCTAGCTGAACTGATGAACTCCAGGTTTGGTGAGGCCCTGTCTCAAAAAAATTAGGTGGAGGGGTTGGAGAGATGGCTCAATGGTTAAGAGCACTCACATGACAGCCAACAATCCATAACTCCAGTTTCAAGGGATCTGACACCCTCTGCTGACCTCTGCAGGCTTTGCATGATATGGGTGTATTTTACATGCAGGCAATACGCTCATACACATAGAAAAAAAAAATGAACGATCTCTGAGTTCAAGGCCAGCCTGGTCTACATAATGAGTTCCAAGCCAGTTGGGGCTACAGGGAGACCCTGTTTCAAACAGACTTCAAAAAGAATCAGTAAAAGTAAAAAAAATATAAGGTGGAGAGTGAGGAAGACATGTCAGTTCTGGCCTCCACAGACACAGACATCTAGGCGTCTGCATAACACCCCCAAAGATTGAGGTTTTTGTCTTGGAGACAGGGTCTCCCTGTAGTCCCAGCTGACCTGAACTCACTATGTAGCCCAGACTGGCCTTGAACTCACAGAGATCTGCCTGCCTCTGCTTCCCAAGTGCTGGGATTAAAGGTGTGCACCACCTTGCCCAGCTCAGCCTTTTTTTAGGTCTTTAAAAATATTTCCCTCTGGGGAGCTGGAGAGATGGCTCAGCGGTTAAGAACACTGGTTGTTCTTGCAGAAGACCCAGGTTTGAATCCCAGCACCCACATGGCAGCTAACAACTGTCCATAAATCCAGTCCCAGAGGATCCAACTCTTCTGACTCTTCTGACCTCCTCAGGCATTGCATGACAGGGGTGCACTTACCTACATGCAGGCAATACACAAATACACATAAAAAAAAAAAAATTTCCCTCTATAAGAAAAAATGAAAAAAAAAAAATTCCCTCCATGTAATGGTTTGTTTTCCATGTGGAACGTAGCAAATTTCATCAGCACCTCCAGATTTTATGTATTATAGATGGACTTGCCCCTCTTCTCTCATTTTTGCTACTTGTTAGTCTACGGAAAAAAAAATGTTTTTTAAACACTACTAATTTTGTATTTAGCAGTCTTTGCAAATTCACTTTTTTTTTTTTTTTTTTTTTTTTGAGACAGGGTCTCATATATAGCACTGGCTGGCCTGGATTCGCTATGGAGACCAGGCTGGCCTTGAACTCACAGAGATCCACCTGCCTCTGCCTCCTGAGTGCTGGGATTAAAGGCGTGCCACCATGCCTGGCTTTCTTCTTTTTATTTTATGTGTATTAGCGTATTGCCTGCATGTGAGTGCACCCGTGTCGTGCAATGCCGTTGGAGATTAGAGGGCATCAGTTACAGACAGTTGTTAGCCACCATGTGGGTGCTGGGAATTGAACCCTGGTCCTCTGCAAGAACAGCCAGTGTTCTTAACTCCTGTGCCACCTCTGCAGCCCTGGTTTTCTATTCTGAATTCGGTATCTGGGCTTTGTTGGTCACATCACAAGGACGAGCAGAGTGTGGTGGCACATGCACTCAGTCCCAGCACTCAGGAGGCAGAGGCAGGTGAATCTCTAGGCCAGCTGGGCCTACAGGGATAGCCTGTCTCTCAAAAAGACCAAAAAAAAAAATTGTGGATGGTGTTTCCCTTTTTAATTTGGCAGAATAATGTGTACCTTTCTTTTTTTTAAGCTTCTTTTTAGTTTCTGTGTATGAGTGTCAGTGCCTGCATGTAAGTGCACCCATGTTGTACAGTTTTAGTTTCTATGTATGAGTGTCAGTGCCTGCATGTAAGTGCACCCATGTTGTACAGTTTTAGTTTCTGTGTATGAGTGTCAGTGCCTGCATGTAAGTGCACCCATGTTGTACAGTTTTAGTTTCTGTGTATGAGTGTCAGTGCCTGCATGTAAGTGCACCCATGTTGTACAGTTTTAGTTTCTGTGTATGAGTGTCAGTGCCTGCATGTAAGTGCACCCATGTTGTACAGTTTTAGTTTCTGTGTATGAGTGTCAGTGCCTGCATGTAAGTGCACCCATGTTGTACAGTTTTAGTTTCTGTGTATGAGTGTCAGTGCCTGCATGTAAGTGCACCCATGTTGTACAGTTTTAGTTTCTGTGTATGAGTGTCAGTGCCTGCATGTAAGTGCACCCATGTTGTACAGTTTTAGTTTCTGTGTATGAGTGTCAGTGCCTGCATGTAAGTGCACCCATGTTGTACAGTTTTAGTTTCTATGTATGAGTGTCAGTGCCTGCATGTAAGTGCACCCATGTTGTACAGTTTTAGTTTCTATGTATGAGTGTCAGTGCCTGCATGTAAGTGCACCCATGTTGTACAGTTTTAGTTTCTGTATATGAGTGTCAGTGCCTGCATGTAAGTGCACCCATGTTGTACAGTGCCTGGGGAAGACAGGAGGCCGTCAGATTCCCTGGAACTGGAGTTAAGAGACTTGCTGGATTCAAACTCAGGTGTTCTACAAGAGCAGCCAGTGCTCTTCACTGCGGAGCCACCTCTCCAGCCCCAGTATCTTAAATATGTTAGAGCTTCTTACCAGTTCATAATTATCCATTTCTCTTGTAGTTCTATTAACTCTTGCTGTACAGACTTTGAGGCTGTGTAACTGGCTAGATACATAGATTTAGGCATTGGCATTGGAATCTTTACATTGAGGTAAGTTCTTTTTTTATAAAATGCTCCTTTGCAAGTCTTTACCTTTACCTATCTAACGGATGTGTGTCTGTGCACGTATTGTGGCACATTTGTGGAAGGCATGACAATTTTGGGGGGTTGTTTGGCAGCAAGTGCTTTTACCCACTGAGCCATCTGGATGGCCTGGGTTTTTCTGAGACAGGGCCTTTATAGCCAAGGCTGGTCTTGAACTCGTGGCAATCCTCCTGTCTTCCTTTACCTTTTAAATGCCAAGATTACAGGCTTGTGCCACCACATCCTTTTGACGTTCACATTTTCCCCCTTGAGACAGAATCCTATTGTATAGCCCTGGCTGGTCTAGAACTTGCTACTCAGCGAAAGCTGGCCTTGCACTTGTAGTGATCCTTCTGCCTCAGCCTGAGTCCCCCACTATGCCTGGCTTAACTGTCGTTTTTGAAAAATTTGTGTCTGTGTGCGTGCGCACGCTTGACATGGCATGTGTGTGGCGGTCAGAGGACTTTTGGGAGTTGGTTCTCTCCTTACATACCATGTGGGGTCTGGGGATCAAACTCAGGTCCTCAGGTTTGGCAGCACATGCCTTTATCACTTGAACCATCTCACTGGCCTTTGGCTTTCATTCTTGGGAGACATTCTCAGCACATAGAATTCTGGAAGGCAGTGTTTGTTTTGTCCTGGTTTGCTTTCTGTTGCTGTGATAAACACTGACCAAAAGCAACTTGTGGAGGAGAGGGTTCATTACATTTTACAGCTCACAGCCCATCGCTGAGGGAAGCCAGGGTAGGAACCTGGAGGCAGGAGCAGAGGCAGAGACCATGGAGGAGCGCTGCTGACTGGCGTGCTCGGCTACCTTTCTTACACAGCCCAGGCTCTTCTGCCTAGGGTGGCACCACCCACAGTGGGCTGGGCTCTCCTACATCAATCAGCAATCAAGTCCCATAGACATGACCACAGGCTAGTCTGATGGAAGCAATTCCTCAGTTGAGGGTCCCTCTTACCAGGTGTCTCTGTCTGTGTCAAGTTGACAAGCACTAGCCAGCATAGATACTGAAGATGGGACGTTGTCTTCTGGACTCTGTTGTGTCGGCTGAGAAGTCCAGCTGCTTCTGTTCTGTCTGAGCCTGACTCAAGATACTTGTTTTACTTTGGCTTCTAGAAGCCTACCAGTGCTTGTGTGGTGTGGACTCTGTTGTTATCCTGTGAGTTCATGAGTCTGACTTGATGCTTTCCAGTCAAGAACCAATCAGGAGACATTCACTATAGGGTAATTAGAACACAGAAATCCTAGCACAGTAGACTGTGACTGTGGTGTTCAGGGAGGCCAGGCCATTCTGTGAAAGCACATGAACCCTCCATCCCAGGGACCACTGTTTAGAGTCCACACTGTGTCTGAGAGATGGCTGGTCCCATCTAGGGGCCCCTCCATTTGGGCTGAATATGGACCAGGGAGGATAGGAAACAGGTGACCTACTAGGTCTCCAGTGCCCTGTCCAAGGTGATGAATTTCTTTGTGCTTTAGATCCCAGATGAGGGCCTGGGAAACAATACCCACGGACTGGGAGGCAGCCAGACATGTAGTGTGAAGCCCCCTCAGGACTCTTAACACCCCCCTCAGGTGTTTCCAAGGCTGGAGCTTGGCAGGAAGTATCAAGTTTCTAAGTACTGCTAGTTGGGATCAGGATGACTTTTTTTTTTTTTTTTTTTTTGGTCTTTTTGAGGCAGGGTCTTCCTGTAGCCCCAGCTGTCCTGGAACTCACCATGTAGACCAGACTGGCCTTAAACTCATAGAGATCTGCCTGCCTCTGTCTCCCAAGTGCTGGGATTAAAGTGGTGCGCCACCCTGCCTGGCCCAGGATCTTTTTTTACACACGTTATTAAAAATTTTTAATTTGAATTTTACGTATGTTTGCCTGCATGCATGCATGTGCAACATGTTTGCCTGGTGCCCACAGAGGACAGAGGATCCTGGTGTTGGATCCTCTGGAAATAGAGGCAGGTGGCTGTCAGCCACCATGTTGGATGTTAGGAACTGAACCCAGGTCCTCTGCAAGAGCAGTTAGTGTGCTCTTAACTGTTGAGCATCTCTTCAGCCTTCAAGATGGCTTCTTGTTCCAGCGTTGACACACCTCACTGGCCTGACATCCTCCAGCCCTGTCCCCATTGGATGAAATGTCATATATCCCCTTCATTAAACACCCCACCCCCTTCCTCACTGTGGGAATTTGGGCAGAATTGGAGCTAACGGTTTGGTACAATGTATGTTCTTGTCTGGGCCTATAGTTTGTGGATTTCAGTCCAACTTTTTTTTTTTTTTTTTTTTTTTGGGGGGGGGTTTTTTTGGGGGGGGGATACACACGACGCTCACCCCCTCCCCCCCCTCGCGCGCGTCTCAGAATGCTAGAGGCAAAGGCCTTAATTTTTTAAAGTCAACTTTTTTTTTTTTTTTTTTTTGCGGGGGGGTCTTTTTGAGGCAGGGATCACAGAGACCCGTCTGCCTCTGCCTCCCAAGTGCTGGGACTAGAGGCGCACACCACCATTTCTTTAACGTCAAGCGCTGAGTGTTGGGCGCCCTCCCGGGTGTGGTGTTTCACTCCTACGGCTTTCCAGATATGAGTGCTCAAGAAGGTGAAGTGGTTTTCAGGACACTTGGTGCCCAAGAAATGTTCTAAGACCTTGGGAACTGAGGAGCCATTTACCCAGGGTCCTTTGGTGTGCTGGCTATGGACAGGGCAGAGCTCTCTGTTGCCAAAGGCTCAAGTCCTCCAATAATTGCTAACAAATACAGGACCCTAGTGGCCCCAAACACCCCTCTTAAACCACGTATCTTCAGTACCAAAGAGTCAGGGTTTGAGGAAACTCTTAAGATCAGTCAAGCAGCTGTCATTCCCAGAAGTCCAGCCTTGGGCCACCAGACCACCGCCTGAGGCCCAAAAGGCTGTTACCTTGATGTTGGAGTCACCCCTGGGTCACTGGCTGAGCTTGCAGGTTCCCAGGTGTTAACATGGGACCTTGGGGGAAGCCATATTTAGCCCATGATGACCACTCCTCCGTGAATCCTGTGGTTCGGTTACCAAAGATCAGGGTGGTGACAGCAGCTGTAGCCCTGGCTAGAAGGTGAAGACATGGGACCCACCTTAGCTGCTTGCAGCCTGGGTTACTAGGGGTGTGGCCCTGCTGGCAGGTCAGGGAGGTACGGAGGACTCAGGCTCAAAGTTTACCTCTGGGCCTCAGAGAGTCCACTAGTTACACTGGACCATGCTACAGCCCAGGAAACACAATTTTCAAAGGCTAATCAGGCAGGCTCACTCACCCCAAGGGGTGACACTGCACTCCCTGAGATGCTGGCACAGCTTGGGTGCTCAGTGAATAAACTGGGACATGATGGAGGGCTGGCCTGAAGTGGGGCCCCTCCTGTCACACTAGCCCAGGAAGGCCTGTTCCCTCTTTAAAGGGACAAACTTGGTTCCCTTCTCCCAGCTGGGTCCTGGACAGTGCCCAGAACACCTGCATAGCAAAAGTCAAGAAAGGGGACTAGAACTGGAGCTGATGCCAGGCATTCTCTGGTCCCCTGTGCTAAAGATGAGTGGCTCCCTGGGGGGCGGAGGGGACCAGCCACCGCAGGGAGAGGGGACTCACTCTGCCCTGTGTAGGTGCAAGGGCTCTGTGGCTCCCTGTAGCTGTGCCTTGGTTGTGGAAAACTGCCTTGAGGACAGGAGGGGACCTGCAGAAGGTACTTGTGATGGCAGCAGCTGTAAAGCCCGGTGGCCTGAATCCCACCCTGCGTGTTCCCTTTCCCAAGGTTGGGTGGTACAGCTCTTGGACAAGCTGCTTCTAGGGTGGGAGAGCATCTTGTCTATTTGTGGGTGTGGGAAGTCAGAGGACAACTTGAATCAGTTCTCCCATCATGTGGGCCCAGGGTTTGAACTCAGGTCATCAGACTTGCTGGCAAATGCCTTCCAAGCCCAATTACTCTCAGTCTGAATGTCTGTTCCTGGGGTTAAGAACTGGGAAGGAAAGTTCCTGGGCCTGAGAAGGACAGATACTGGTGATATTTACCCACCCAGCCAGAACCACCCCAAATACAGCAAGTAGGTCTGAGGATGGACCAGCCGCTCTGAGCCTCAGCCCCCTAAGTGAGGTCACAGGCAGGGCTATCCTAAGGGAGTCTGGCACAGGAGACCTGGACACCAACATGGTATCAGATGCCTTTTGTCTGTTTATTTTTCTTTCATATAAAAGTTACATGTCTGAAATGTCTGCAGGAAGACACCACTGTCAGACAAGTTAGTGGGGAATCTATATTACAGCGTCACACTGGGAGGCGGGGGCAGGTTTCTTGTTTCACAAGGTTAGATGTGTTGCTTGCCCTAGCCTTGGCCCCCCTCCCCACACACAGGTGAGAGCTGGCCTCTGCAGGGAACAGAACTGTCCACGCCGCTCAGTCTGTAAAGATCAGTCCCCACAGCTCTCCCAGGTCCCCACCAACACAGACATGTTGTATGTAGCCAGGCTACAGTGAGCGCTCGGCTTGGCCTCAGTCAGAGGCAGGAGACTGGGGAAGCCTGTCGGCCAATAAGTTAAACACACACATTGCACCTCACTGTCCTCATGTGGAGACACTCCAGAGCTCACGTCCACCCCTGGCCTGGGCCCTTTGCTCCCAGGGCTCCCAGGTACTGCGGGAGGGTCTGGCTACTCTAGGTCTGGAAAGCAGGCCTCCCCCTTATGTCCAGCTCATTCCTGGGAGCCCGTAGACAGTCCCAATTGCAGACTTCGCCTGTACACTGTGGGACCACTGGGTTGGGCCTGACTTGCAACACTGCTGATGTTGGCCTGTGCTACAGAGGGAGGCTATAGGGGCCTCTCAAGCCATGGAGGATTCTAGTTTGTGTACTCAAAGGACCCTGGGTACACCATGCCTCCCATGCACACACAGCAGCACTCACAGAGCTGGGCCAAGGACGGGGAGCAGGAGGCAAAGACTGAAATGAAAGGACTTGCGAAAGAGGGACAAGCTATAAACCCCCCACCCCGCACACGACTGCTCACAAACCTGACTCCACACACACTCCTTAAATAATAAAGTGACGGTTCTGTCAGCAGGGCTGCTGCCAGAGGGGAGCCGGCCACAGGGCTGTTCACAGATGCCTCCCTATTTACAGGACAAGTAAACGTGAGTGGGGGCAAGGGGGCCCACGGTTTCTCTGATAAAAAGCCTGCTCAAAAACCCAGGAGGGACTGAGGACACAGTTGTTTAAAGCTGTGTCCGGTCAGCAGCTGCTGTTCTCTGGCCTCCTCTGCTGTGAAAGTCGGGCCGAGGAAGCACAGCTAGATTCTGGTGTCCACTTGGCCAAGCCCCAGGCCCAGGAGAAATGAGTGCTCATTCATGCAACAACCAGGAGGCCTGGGGTGGGTTGGCGGCACATCTGGATTCTGACCTATACCCTGCCTACCAGTCCACAGTGGTGGCCATAGTCATGGCCAGGGAGGTTCCAGTGCTGAGCCCTGCAAACCTGTCCCTAGATTGTCAACCTCAGCAGCAGTGAGTGGTTCAGCACAGAGGGAAGCACCTCGCCTGGAACCAGGTGGTTTCAGGTGCCCACGTGGGCCCCAGGCCTACTCTGCCCTTTAGGACATTGCTGTCTCCAGGGAGCAAGGGTACAAAGGGCCTAGGAACCTGCTGGCCACCAGGGGTGGGGCAAGGTAGGGGAGCCCACCAGCCCAGGAGGGACAGAAGATGGACTTTAAGGCACACAGCAAGCATGGAGGGGCTGCTGGCCTCTCCTCAGGGTCCTCTTCTCTTCCCTCTCTGACCCACTCGGGAGTTCAGCCCTGGTCCTGCTCAGCATGAACACTTCTGTGATGACAGAGCTCTCCTTTCCTCCTGTGCCTCCTCTTCCTGTTCCCCAGAGTGCCAGAGATATGGTAGGGACTATGTGATCCCAGACGCTGCCCGGAGCTTATGGTGGGGCTAAAGGAGCGGCAGGACAGTGGATGCTGCTGCTCCTGGTTCATCAGGGGAGTCCTACAGGGCTGTGCATGGCAGGACAGGTCAGGAGCCAGCACTATGAGGAGTGCCAGCTTTGGGGCTGCTGCAAGTTGCCTGTCACACCTTCTGGGCCAGGTGAAATGCATGCCTCATCCCTATGTTATAAAAGCAGGGAATGGACAGCAGAACGTGGCCACCACGGCCTTTTCTGCCTCCTGCCACTTAGCCTTTTCTCCCCTGGCTCCAGACAAAACGGAATGCAGTCCACTCAAGGGTTCTGGGGCCTCCACTCATCTGCCACTGAAGAAGGCCAGGGTAGCAGTGGGCTTAGGAAGGTGAGGCTGCCAGTCCCCTGGTCTGCTGCTCAGGTCTCTGCTGTTCCCAGCTGGAAGGGACAGTGGGGGACAGGAGGGAGCGACATGAAATATAGAAAACAAAACCACACCAGGGGCCACCCCTTCACAAGCCAGTTCTGAGGCCCGTGGGCCAGCTCGCTGTGGACCAGGAAACCATCAGCAGGGTCGGGCTCTGCCACACTGCCAAGCCGTGGATGGGCTCGGGGGCTGGGACTCTGCAGTCCACCTGGCTGGTCCAAGTCTCCTCAGGCCACTTGAGCATTCCTCACGCCCAGCCCTGCTCTAGCTCTTCTCTTCCCGGTCTGTTTTCCGCCTTGTTATGTTCCTGGGCTTAATTTTCAAAGAGAGTTCCCATAGGGCCTCCTCAGCCAGGTGGTCGCTGAAGTCATTGAAGAAATTTATGATGTCATCGTTTCTCCGGATGTCATAGTGCCTGGTGGGGGAAGGGGCTGTCAGCAAGGCCAGGGCTGGCTGGCTGAACAACTAGGCTGTGACCTTTCACAGGGCGTCGCCCAATCACCTCACCTCAGGCCCTCATAACAAGCTGTCTGGCAGGTCACTGCTACCCAACCTGACAGGGGCACCAGCACTCAGCACAGAGCACACGGAGTGGTCCACAGTGCTCCTGGCCTCCAACCAGCACTACTGCAGGAGGGCTCCTCATGAGAAGCCTGGACAGATCCATCTGGGACACAATGCACTCGGGCCACAGTGGGTGAGCTGTGGCGGTGCCCTGGCCTGCCCCTGCTGCCTTGGAGCCAAGTTGGGCAGAATCATCAGCCTCCTCCTCACTCCTAGGTGAGTACCTGCTTCCTGACTTCTAAGTGGAGGACAAACTGCCACAGGGCCAGGCCAGGCCACACAAGAAGCTGAGCCCTTTCTGTGGACTCCTGATACTTTCCTGTTAGAAGTGGGGGGCAGGGACTGGAGCTCCCACAGATGCAGGGCTCCTGGTTCCCTGGGACTTGCCCCTCCCTGGAATGTAGCCAGGCCTTCCCTGGGCTTGGCACTCACGCCTGCTGGAAGCACCGCATGCTGTCCAGGATGTTGAACTGCTGCCACCGCTTGGAAAAGTTCACCTTCCCGTCAATGTAGTCTGGGTTTCCCAGGTGGACGAAGGTCAGGTCCTGCAGGATCAGACCGCTGGGGAGGATGAAGGCAGAAGCCAGTTACTGTGCTGGAGATGGAGTTGGGGCGGCTTCTTGGTATGAGCTGGCTTTTGCCACCAGGACCAGCACTCAATGGCAACGTGGCCTATGCCAAGCAGTTGCCAAACTCCAAAGCAAACCACAGTACAGGTTTAGGAGGTCTTTCAACCTGTGTGAATTTCAGCCTCCTGCACTCTGGGTCAGAGCCACCTGTGGGTCTCTTAAGAGCCAGTTCAGCACTGGAGGAGTCTGGAGCACCTTTGGGGTCCAGCTATGGAGGACTTGTGGGGTTGACTTGGCCTCAGGGTAGGGGGCAGAGTCGGGGTTGCTAATGTGAAATTGTTAACAGTGAAACAAAACAGAACCCAAACTGAGCAGAGCCACCTGTACAAATGGGTGGAGAACAAATAGCTGTGGGAGGGGAAGCCACTCACAGGTACGGGATGCATGGGGGCTCCACCTCCGAAAGGGCGGCCCGGTAGGCTCGGAAGGAGGATGAACTGTCAATCAATGTGCAGTACTCAGCCAGGCCCTGTGGGACAGAGGAGGGTTAATGATGTGCGATGCCAGGTGCCCACAACATGCCAGAGCCCGGTCCTGCCAACATCACTTAATAGTGCCAGCTAGAGCCCTGGTGGCAGGAGGCCTCAGGCCTTGTGGGATATGCCCCTTTGGGTGGTGTGAGTTCACTGTCCTCAGGGAGGACTCAGCCCGTGTGCTCACTCAGCAACTTGTCCTTTCCTTCCCTCTAGCACATATCTTGCTGAAACCAACCCAATAGGCCAAATGCTGCACTCAGCCCAGAGCCCCTTTGAAAGGACTCAGCAGCTGAAGGTGGGGTCTAGGCACAGGGATGTGGCAACTGCACAACCAAGGACGTGCTGACTCCTGACTGTAGATCAGAGACAGCAGGCTGAGGTGGGGGAGGCAGCTGTCCTGGCCACACAGAGGTAGGTGGCAAACGGGGCTCCATGTCTGGCCTTCTTGATCCACACTGGCCTACCTCTGAGGTCTGCCTCTGCCACTCCAGTCTTCGGATAGGTGCCGAGTCCAGTGCCGAGAGGATGGCCAGGTAAGAGTTGAAGTTGTTTAGCTTCCGCAGGTGCTGTAAAGAGAGGTGGTAGTGAGGGCAGGCCCAGGGCTACTGGCCCCGGCCTCCCCGGCAGGGCCTGAAGGGAGCACTGGATGGCTAACCAGTTACCTTCATGATCTTGATGAACTTCAGCAGCAGCCGCTCCCGGTCCTGGGCCTTCTCCTGCAGCATGATGATGGACCGTACCCTGTGTGAAAGGCCAGGGAAACAGCTGCTGAGCGACCGTCCTCCACAGGCTCAGTGGCCCTGGCAGATGGGTACATGTGACCCATGCCAGCTGGCCACGAGATCTTGCCCAGAGAAGCCAAAGCACAGCCGTGGCCTCTGCTCTCAGGAAGCTCACCATAGCTCAGGGTTCAACACAAGGACCCCGGCTTCTATAAGGAAGGCTTGGTAATTTACTCACCCTCCCGGCAGGGAAAGGCCTTGACACTGGCTCAGAGACCAGCTAGTGACTAAGGAGGAAACCATTTGTCAGCCAGGAGGATGGGGCCCTGCAGAACATTAGCAACAGCCAAAGCTGAAACCCAAGGTCAGCCTTGTCTGTGTCAGGGGACTCCCGATGGAGTCAGCCTCCTGTGGTTCACAGGGACCTCCGTGAGGCTGCTTGGAGGGATGACGCTCTGCATCACCTCTTCTACCCTTCAAAGGGCACCTGTATCAAGGGACACCTCAGGGACTATGACTTCAAAGGGTATTCTGCACTTCTAGCCTGCCTCCCTGTGGAGAATGCCTGGAGCCTCCTGCATCCGGCAAGGGACCGGGTGTTGAGTGAGGCTCAGGAGGATGAGCAGCTCCTGCCTGCCCTAGAAACCTTCACATAAAATTGAATGTTGAGTGGCTACTGCTGAGCCACTTGCTAAGGGGAGGGTGCATCTGGTGTGGGGGTGGGGGAGTGAGAGGTGCTGTTTGCATCCAAGAAGCAGCACTGAGAGCACTGCAAGCCGTGAGACTCTCCCTCCGGAGGCCAAGGTGGGCATGTGGGGTGGGGCTGCCGCCACAGGAGGCAGTGGCACTGGGTCACATCTCAAAAAGGGTCATAGGGCTGGGGAGACGGTTCAGCAGATAAGAGCACTGGCTGCTCTTCCAGAGACCCTGGTTCAGTTCTCAGCATCCACATGGCAGCTAAGAACTGTCCATAACTCCATCTCAGGGACGCCCTCTTCTGTCCTCCAAGGGTTTGCACACACGAGTACAGGCAAAACACTCGTATACATAAAAATAATTTTTTAAGAAAGGGTCAGAAACTCCCTACTGGCCTTCATCTTGCTTTAAGAATTAAAGGTCCAGAGACCCTGGTTCAGTTCTCAGCATCCACATGGCAGCTAAGAACTGTCCATAACTCCATCTCAGGGACGCCCTCTTCTGTCCTCCAAGGGTTTGCACACACGAGTACAGGCAAAACACTCGTATACATAAAAATAATTTTTTAAGAAAGGGTCAGAAACTCCCTACTGGCCTTCATCTTGCTTTAAGAATTAAAGGATGAGGGGCTGGAGAGATGGCTCAGTGGTTAAGAACACTGACTGTTCTT